AAATAACACACACACACAAGGAAACTCAAAAAGGTTCAGAAGTTTACAACGAGGCTTGTCCCAGAATTGCGAGGGATGAGGAACAAAATAAGAGATTGAAGGAACTAAACCTGATATTGTTAGAAAAGAGGAAAGAGAGGAGGTGGGGCGGGAGACATGATAGAGACATATAAAGTACTTAGGGGATTCACAGAGTGGAAAAAGATGATATGTTTACAATAAATTACAATAAAATAAGAGGGAATGGATGAGAGCTTGAGAAAAAGATGAGTTATAAAAATATTAAAAATGTTTATTTTGTGGTATTTTGGGTAGCTGGAAAATTAAATGAACTAAAGAAACAGGTTGATGACGTCAACTTCCTTCTTAATTAAAAAAAGTAGATATGATAACTAGATAGGGCAGTAGTCAAGCCATTAGATAACCGGCAGCTAGAGTGGCAGGGTCCACGGGTCAAAGCTCGATCCTGCAGGCACATATTGGTGAGTGTAGGTAGTTGAACACACACACACACCGTCAAGACCAAACTGGGAAAGGTTCAAAGGTTCGCCACCAGACTAGTACCTGAACTGAGAGGTATAAGCTACGAGGAGAGACTACGGGAATTAAATCTCACATCGCTGGAAGTCATAAGAGTTAGGGGGGACATGATCATCACATACAAGATTCTCACAGGAATTGATAAGGTAGATAAAGACAGGCTATTTAACTCAAGGGTCACACGCACAAGGGAACACAGGTGGAAATTAAGTGCTCAAATGAGCCATAGAAATATTAGAAAGAACTTTTTTAATGTCAAAGCAGTTGACAAATGGAATGCATTAGGAAGTGATGTGGTGGAGACTGACTCCATACACAGTTTCAAATGTAGATATGATAGAGCCCAATAGGCTCAGGTACCTGTACACCAGTTGATTGACGGTTGACAGGCGGGACCAAAGAGCCAGAGCTCAACCCCCGAAAGCACAACTAGGTGAGTACACAAAACACAGGGGCCTCGTAACTGAGTGGGCAGCGCTCGGGAGTCGTAGTCCTAAAGGCTCGGGTTCGATTCCCGTCAGAGGCAGAAACAAATGGGCAGTGTTTCTTTCACCCTGATATACCTGTTCACCTAGCAGCAAATAGGTATCTGGGATTTAGACAGCTGATACGGGCTGCTTCCTGGGTGTGAGTTCACCTATTTGTACTCATCTATTTGTGCTTGCAGGATCGAGCATTGACTCTTGGATCCCGCCTTTCTAGCCATCGGTTGTTTACAGCAATGACTCCTGTCCCATTTCCCTATCATATCTAGTTTTAAAATTATGAATAGAGTTTGCTTCCACAACCTGCTCCTTGAGTGCATTCTATTTTTCCACTACTCTCACGCTAAAAGAAAACTTCCTAACATCTCTGTGACTCATCTGAGTTTGTCCCCTCGTTCTGGTACTATTCCGAATGAACATTTCTTCTATTTCCACTTTGTCAATTCCCCCGAGTATTTTATACGTTCCTATCATATCCCCCCTCTCCCTTCTTTTTTTCTAGTGTCGTAAGGTTCAGTTCCTTCAGGCGCTCTTCATATCCCATCCCTCATAACTCTGAGACAAACCTCGTCGCAAACCTCTGAACATTTTCCAGTTTCCTTATGTGTTTCTTCAGATGGGGACTCCATGATGAGGCGGCATACTCTAAGACTGGCCTCACGTAGGGAGTGTAAAGCGCCCTAAATGCCTCCTTACTTAGGTTTCTGAATGATGTTCTAACTTTTGCCAGTGTAGAGTACGCTGCTGTCGTTATCCTATTTATGTGTGTTAAAGAGAAATATTGTCGTAGACATAATAGAGGAAAAATAAATTGGTTAAAAAGGCGGGGTCCAAGAGCTAAAATAGCTCAATTCTGCAGATACAAATAGTTAACACACACACACAGGGTGGACAAAGGCAAACTGTTTAGCGCGGGTGGAACACGAACAAGGGGACACAGGTGGAAACTTAGTACCCAGATGAGCCACAGAGACGTTAGAAAGAATTTTTTCAGTGTCAGAGTAGTTAATAAATGGAATGCATTAATTAGTGATGTGGTGGAGGCCGACTCCATACACAGTTTCAAGTGTAGATATGATAGAGCCCAATAGGCTCAGGAATCTGTGCACCAGTTGATTGACAGTTGAGAGGCGGGACCAAAGAGCCAGAGATCAACCCCCGCAAACACAACTAGGTGAGTACACACACACACACACATACACCTGTAGTCAAGGAACAGCCTAGTTGCACCTGGAATCTCATCGTCCGTTTTCTATATCTCATTATAGGGGCTTCTCTACCCTCTTCCAAATTTCAATATATAACATTGTATCTGTTCTCTTTATAATACGTTGAAGGTTTCTTTTGTATTTGGTTTCTCAGTGTTAGGCTTACTTCCCCCCCCCCTCCCCCCCCTCCTAAGACATCTGACCTGCCCCAGATGCCAGCCACAACAGTTGGTGACTCCAGGGGCTCCCATTTACCGCTAGGTGAACAGATGCATCACGTGTAAACGTCGAAGCCCCGTGTGAGAGTCGAACCTGGGGTCCGAAGGTTGCTAGTCCATTGCGATACGCTCTAGTTAAAGTTACTTCAGAGAAGCACACGCGTCTCAGTAGGCTTCGTATTCTTGCCTTTTTCTCCCCATTCTTTATTGTTTAGTCTATTCTTATTAGAGATTAGTGTTTAGTTTTCTTAGTTCGTTATTTATCGCTTCTTGTCTAATTTGCTTTGGTTCTACAGTGCCGTTATTTCTGATACTTTCGTCTAATTTTTTTATGCCACGTCCCGTGAAAGTTTGTTGAGTTATGCAACTCACCGCCTTGTGGCAGACACGATGTCAACATTGCGTTCGGGCATCACAAGGCGTTCGTTTTGCTGCGTCGTAGATTTACTGTTTTAAATTTTTAGACACGTACGGTGCCTTTCTCTCGAGTTTTGCTTCCCTTATGGCATCCGCCAGCGGGAATGGGGCGGACATAACTAAATCTCACATCCTTGGAGAAACGACGAGGCATTTAGTAACTAATTCTCACATCCTTGGAGAAACGATGAGGCATTTAGTAATTAAATCTCACATCCTTGGAGAAACGACGAGGCATTTAGTAACTAATTCTCACATCCTTGGAGAAACGATGAGGCATTTAGTAACTAAATCTCACATCCTTGGAGAAACGACGAGGCATTTAGTAACTAATTCTCACATCCTTGGAGAAACGATGAGGCATTTAGTAACTAAATCTCACATCCTTGGAGAAACGACGAGGCATTTAGTAACTAAATCTCACATCCTTGGAGAAACGACGAGGCATTTAGTAACTAATTCTCACATCCTTGGAGAAACGATGAGGCATTTAGTAACTAAATCTCACATCCTTGGAGAAACGACGAGGCATTTAGTAACTAATTCTCACATCCTTGGAGAAACGATGAGGCATTTAGTAACTAAATCTCACATCCTCGGAGAAACGACGAGGCATTTAGTAACTAATTCTCACATCCTTGGAGAAACGATGAGGCATTTAGTAACTAAATCTCACATCCTTGGAGAAACGACGAGGCATTTAGTAACTAAATCTCACATCCTTGGAGAAACGACGAGCCATTTGTAACTAAATCACACATCCTTGGAGAAACGACGAGGCATTTAGTAACTAAATCACACATCCTTGGAGAAACGACGAGGCATTTAGTAATTAAATCTCACATCCTTGGGGAAACGATGAGCCCTTTAGTAACTAAATCTCACATCCTTAAAGAAACGACGAGGCACACATAATTAAATCTTACATCCTTTGAGACATAACTAAATCTCACATCCCTGGAGAAACGAGGGCACAGTGAGGACATGATCACAACATAAAACATATTTATAGCTACCATTCACAACTACTGTGAATGGATCATTACAATTCATTGATGATCCACTAACAATCTTCATACGGTACGATGCACCCTCAACTCTCACAATGACGATCCGTCATCCACTCACAACTCTCACACTGAAGATCCACGCACAATCCTCACGTTCCTGCAGCCCGTCCTATAAACAAAGACCCAAAAGTCCATTCCATGCACCCGCCAAACCCCAGCTGTTTATGAATGAAAAACGATTTACACACGACTCACAACTGATGAAGTCCGAACACTTCTGGAACAAGTGCTTCACTGACGAATTTTGTTCGAACCACAACGCTGTAAATGCTTCACCCATGTACTACAAATACAAATAATCGCCAACAGAACCTAAACACCTAACCTAACCAGTGCCTAAATATGTACAATATGGTAAAATAAAATGATATTAATTTATATTTGAGAAAATTCCTTTTTCGAATGAACAACATGTTAAAATTTATGAATGAGTTTTTGGGATCGACCGTTGGATGGAATGGACTTACAACCGATCATGTGTAAGCTATATCTGGCTCGTGTGTGTAGAGCCAGATATATCCTGACCAACAACACAGCAATAATCGGCAGATACAACGACAATAGAAGATCAGACATAGACAAAGCACTACAAGTCAAACAGCCTCGACCAGCTACCAATAGGCAGCTCACACTCAGGTATATTCAACCAATCCTCAAGACCAAGGCAAATCATCAGCTCACACTGGCCCAGCCATCATTGGCTGCGTGAACGGCCTAACCTGACCATCATCACGATACACGTTTTTAGAGGTCCAGGTAACTTGAAGCCACTTCCTCGTTGCCTCTCAAGATGTTGACAGACTCAACGAAACGCAACACTTAACGTCAGACAACACACCGTAAAAATATTCTACGGTGTTTCATTTTCAACTTTCCTTCTCAAGTAAACAATGAATATTAGAAATACGGAGAAGATTCGGGGTAAAATCATTGATACAACTCAGGAATTGTTAATTTGGTTTTAAGATTACAGAACGTACAGCCAGGCCTGGTCGACGACCGGGCCGCGAGGACGCTAAGCCCCGAAATCACCTCAAGGTAACTTTAAGGTACGTAATTTTCTCATACTCTCTTCGCCAGACTGTCAAAATGACTTTTATCACCATCATTAATGGGCCTATTATCACCATCAATGGGCCAATTATCACTATCAGTGGGCCTATTATCACTATCAGTGGGCCTATTATCACTATCAGTGGGCCTATTATCACCATCAGTGGGCCTATTATCACCATCATTGGGTCTATTATCACCATCAATGGGCCTATTATCACCATCAATGGGCCTATCATTACCATCAATGGGCCTACTATCACCATCAATGGGCCTATTATCACCATCAATGGGCCTATTATCACCATCAATGGGCCTACTATCACCATCAATGGGCCTATTATCACCATCAATGGGTCTATTATCTTCCATCAATGGGCCTATTATCACCATCAATGGGCCTATTATCACCATCAATGGGTCTATTATCTTCCATCAATGGGCCTATTATCACCATCAATGGGCCTATTATCACTATCAATGGGCTTATTATCACCATCAATGGGTCTATTATCTTCCATCAATGGGCCTATCATCACCATCAATGGGCCTATCATCACCATCAATGGGCCTACTATCACCACCAATGGGCCTATTATCACCATCAATCGGCCTATTATCACCATCAATGGGCCTATTAGGAACCTGCATTGTTAGTCAGGAACAGAACAGCAGGAAGAAAATCGTAAGGTCTTCATTATATTTACAGAAGAACTGTAAATCAGAAAGAAAACAAAGAGCTATCTGTAAATAGTAAGATTTCTGGCTGTTTTTTTTTTTTACCCAATTCAAACAAGAATTTGAGGTTACTGGCGATGACTTTAATTCGGTCTAATTCAGCCACTTTTTTAAGTGGCTGAATTTGAAACAATTCAGCCACTTAAATTTGAAACAATTTGAAACAAACACTTAACAATTTGAACTTCAAATTGTTCAGAGTTTGTGCTCTATCTAACTCCATTATTTACATATTAAGAACCTCTTTATCTAATCCTTTCGCTCAGATTCAATAACAATAAAATATTATAAATTATAATATACCATTATAAATAATATATAAAATAAGATAATAAAAAAATAATAATAATAATAATATATATATATATATATATATATATATATATATATATATATATATATATATATATATATATATATATATATATATATATATATATATATATATATATATATATATTTTAAAGAGAATGTCTATCTCAGGCTGAAGACCAGGAGCTTGGGGGAAATCCTAACCCAACTTGCAGGGGGAGTGGTATGGGGTACGGGGCCAACATAGGATGGTCGGGGGTGGTCGGAATTCAAGATGGAGCAGAGTGCCACGGTCACATACTGACCCCCATGATTGATTCTGGCACTGCCTGATAGCTACACCTCGTTAAATACTTGAAAAACATGAATTTTATATTTGTATAGTTATATGATCAATTCTGCATTACTTTCTAGGAAATTAATATTAATTTTCTAATTATCATACTTTGCCCGTAGTAGCATAAAATAGAGGATCGTCCTGTAGGCTCAAAGACTTTCTCAATGACAATGAGAGACTATTGTATTTGTTGTATAAGTATTGTATAATATTTCACGTCACTAGGCTCCCCCCCTCGGCAGACCTCCCACACGGTCTGAGAGAGAGAGAGAGAGAGAGAGAGAGAGAGAGAGAGAGAGAGAGAGAGAGAGAGAGAGAGAGAGAGAGAGAGAGAGAGAGAGAGAGAGAGAGAGACAGACAGACAGAGAGAGAGAAAGAGACAGACAGACAGACAGAGAGAGAGAAAGAGACAGGCACAGACAGAATGAATGTGAAAAAGCCAGACCCGTAAACAGACATACAGACAGATACGGAGGCAGACGCAGACCGATTGAAATAAGAAACGAGTGGAGGAGAAGGGAAAGTTAGAAGAAGTCCCCCTCCCCCATTTGAAAGAACACCAATTAAGCAGTTGGTATGTGTGGAACTACCCGTATGTGTAACAACCCTACCTTACACCCTCATCACCGGTGAGGGTGATATAGGGTGATATATGTGCTGCTATATGATATATAATGGTATTTGTGCTCTCCATCTCCGGGTCCAGAAGCTGCCATCAATCACAGGCAGTCAGCCCATGTCTTGTAAATACAGAAAACTGTATCAACGCTTCAATTTTGTAACCACCCCGCCCCCCACCCCGCTCGCTTGCTACCGAGACACTATAGGCGGCTAATCCATAAGCGCCGATAGTTTCTTGTTCAGGATCTGGGTTCTAGACTAATCAAGACAATAGGGGACTCAACAGCTGCCAGTTTTCTTTTCCAGCGCCTGAGCAGGAAAAGAAAGCTTTCCCATCGCTGGAAAAGCGATGGGAAATTCATATATATATATATATATATGCGAACAAGCCTGAATATACTAACTCACACCTTCTGGGGTGTGAGTTTTCAGTTATATATATATATATATAAATATATATATATATATATATATATATATATATATATATATATATATATATATATATATATATATATATATATATATATATATAAATCACTGCCTTCTGCAGTTGACCTAAATTCTTATTCGTTCGTATGGGAATATTATACAAATCATCGCGTGTAACTCTACGGAAAAACAGCGCCCGACTTCACTAACCCGGCAGGAAGAACTCTTCAATACCTGGGGCCTGTACGGTGGTACAACCGTAGCCACCACGATTATCGCAACTCCCCCTCAATTACCACAACCCTTCCAATATTATCACAACCCATCATCTTAAAGATAACAGATGGTGTTTAGTAATAGTACCAACATCACTACCAGACCATTGTCACCTTCAGCGGTCATCACCACAATCACCACTGACACCACAGCTACCACAACCACACAGTTATCACCACAACCACAAGAATCACCACTACCACCACATAGAGTCATCTCCACCAGCACCACCACCACACAGGCATCTTCACCACCACCACACAGGCATCTCCACCACCACATAGGGTCATCACCACCACCACCACTACCACCACACATGCATCTCCACCACCACCACCACACAGGTATCTCCACCACCACTACCACCACCACACAGGCATCACCACCACCACTACCACCACCACACAGGCATCACCACCACCACTACCACCACCACACAGGCATCACCACCACCACTACCACCACCACACAGGCATCACCACCACCACTACCACCACCACACAGGCATCACCACCACCACTACCACCACCACACAGGCATCACCACCACCACTACCACCACCACACAGGCATCACCACCACCACTACCACCACCACACAGGCATCTCCACCACCACCACCACTACCACCACACAGGCATCTCCACCACCACCACCACCACAGAGGCGCTCCAGCCTCCCCAGCACCACACAAGGCCTACACACTCACTCCACAAACCGCCCTCTGATTAACTATATTTACACAATATCTGAGTGTCTCCTGCGAATTCCAGCGCGGAGCGCAGTTATCGGCGCCGGCAATCAAGGATAATTGCTGGTCATTACTTAGATAAGAATGACCGCCAGTTCCGAACAAAGAGGTTGTAAGTTATTGCCGCCAAACACGACTCCTTTGGCAACCCTGCCGAGGGGATATCGGGGGGAGGTATTTCCCTCCAGTTTTATACTTGAGTCAAAGAAGAGCCTCTGTTTAACTGATGTGATTTTATTAAAGATGAAAGCTTCATTTCAAAAAGCCTCCAGCTTATACTATAAAATATTCCAGGAGAGAAAATTAAATAACACTACAGGTATCCAATTTCACAGATCCTCTGAGAGCGGCGCCTGCGCCGCGCGGGAAACCTGGGCCCTCCCATTGGGTGGAGAGTCGCGCCGGCCAACCAATCACAACCGCCGATACATCGGATTAGATGGATTTCCAGCCAACGAGAAACGGCAAGACAGAAGTCGTTAAGGAGAAGAAAGAGGGAATTATTGAGCGAGAGAGAGGGAGCATGAAGAGATGGTGTGTTATTACAGCAAAATGGAAGATGCATCTGACAGCTATATATATAAATATATATTAGATACATATAAAAATATATATCAATATATATTATAAATTCACTCCCCCAAGGTGGAGAGTGAATTATAAGCTTCAGGAAGGGGAAAAAAGACCCAGGCATCGGGTTGTTATAGACAAACAAGCCTCAAACTGTGTAGTTGAGAGAGGAGGGTTCTGTTACGCTAGTCTCAGCCGCCTCTCTGGCATCTTGCAAGGACAGTGGCGTCTCCTTGCTCTCTCTGATCACCTTGTTAGGTATCTTTGCCTGTTACCTTCTGTGCTTACCTTCTTACCTCCTTGCCCATCACGTAGGCCTGCCTCTACATACTTCCCTATCACGTAGGCTTACCTTCATGACTTTCCTATCATGAAGGCTTACCTTTCTTTCTTCCCTATCTGTTATGTAGGCCTACCTACCTTACGTTCTTACCTATCTTGTAGGCCTACCTTAAATCATTATCATGTATTTACCTTCCTTACTGCGCTATAGTCTATCAATCTGCCTATTCTACTTAATTCAACTAATCTATCTTACCTGACTCTCTCTCTCTCTCTCTCTCTCTCTCTCTCTCTCTCTCTCTCTCTCTCTCTCTCTCTCTCTCTCTCTCTCTCTCTCTCTCTCTCTCTCTCTCTCTCTCTCTCTCCACCTTGCCTTAATCTCCCTATCCACCTCCCCCTCCCTTTTTTCGTGTACAATTCGTGTCCCATTCGTTAGCGAGTATTTGAACCACTTAGAACCAATACAGTCTCTCCTGTGAGTATTAGTGCGACTCACCCTCTAAACAGAATATTCGTGAGTATCCGTACGTATAACCTGAAGCAATCGATCTGTGGTATTTAGCGCCCATTTGACTCACGACCTTCGTTCGTGTGGGGGCGCATGGTTCACTCGTTAGTGCGATCAATATTCGTCTAGCGAGTTATGAGTCGACTTACACGGTGTAAGTCAACTCATATTCCTGATACTCCATTATGCCTTACCCTGATACTCCTCATATGCCTATAGCCTCATACTCTTATACGTTTATATATTCCTTATTTCCTTATACCTTTACTTATAAAGGGGGATTATAGGAAATGAAATGGAAGACCTTGGTCTTTGTCCCATTTCCTATATCCCCCCTCTTTTATCCTCTTTCTTATCCTCCTGCCTATCATTTACCTAAATCTTGCCCTTATATCTCTCCCTCTTACCTCTCCTCTCTCCCTCTTACTCTCCCCCTTCCCTCTCCATCACATCTCCGCTATCTTACTGTCCCATAACACTTACCTTCCCTTTACTCTCTCTCCTTCCCTCCCTTTCTCTTACCTTCCCCCTCTTCCCTTTCCCATAT